TTAGTTTAGTGCATGGTGATAGATATGGGTCTAGTTTTAACCTCTGGCAGGTTGAAATCCAGTTTTTCCAACACCATTTATTAAAGAGTCTATCTTTCCTCCAGTGAGGATGGTTGGCTCCTTTGTCAAAGATGGTGTGGCTCATCCTCAGCCCTTTTTAATTTTTTATTTCTTTTGAGACTGGGTCTTGCTAAGTTACTAAATTGCCCAAGACTTGGATCCTCCTACCTCAGCTTCCCAGAGTGTGGGGATTACTGTCATGTGCCATCACACCTGGCTAATGTTTCAGTCCTTGCAGGTTTCTGTTTTGTTTTGGTTTTTGTTTTTGTTATCTGCAGTGTTGGGGAATGAACCTAGGACCTCAACCATACTAGACAAAGGCTCTACCACAAAACTACACTTCCAGCCTGCTTCATATTCTTCTTTCAGGATGTTCACATACACAGCTCTATAAATATAGGACTGTAAATCATTCAGTGTTACTTATCCATCATAATACAGTATGTTTATCTGGAGCTGGTTATCTATAAATACTGATAATATTTGTATACATTTCCTGGTATCCTTGTCCAAAAACAATACAAACAGAAAAGCTCCATGACACTAAAATGTGAATTAAACCCACAACTTTACATTTCTTAATTCTCTACCTAATCAAATGAAATATGCATCTAAAATAAAAATCTACATAATATCATGTAAAAGAGAGCAGGTGAACTATTTTCCCTTTAATAGTTTGCCTAAAAAAAGTTTACCTGTGTATTTGGCACAGCATGCATCCCCAATTCTTGGTTTACAAGATGGTTGACTTTTCTGAGCACTGCAATATTCTAACAGTTCAGCTGTCAATATAGACAATTTTTCCTGATTTTCTAAAATAGACAGATGCAACCTTTTGTGAAAAATTTTCCAATGCTACTATTAACAGTATATAAAATATTGTCAAATCTAATCACTCAAAAACCCCTTGTATATTAAAATATATTGTATTTAAAAAATAAATGTACCTACTATTTGGTTGTTTTTTTACAGAAAAGGATGTAAAACTTGGAGGGGGCATGAAGGAACCATTTGGTGGGACAATTTCTTAACCAATGTGGTTATGCTAGTGTGTTCATTCAATGAAAACTTATTAAGCTGTATTTTTATGATGGTTTGGCATACTTTTCAGTGTGTTATACCTAATAAAAACTGTCCTGATATTACTTCCAATTCAACAGACCTTAAGTTATCAGACTGAATAAGCCTGAACCACTACTTTTTACTAATTAAATATGATTTTTTGTAATACTGGAGATAGGTTTAAAAGCAGTTACTGGATTACCGCAATTCTAGGTTTGACAATTTGAATCAAAGGTTCATTTCTTCAGCTTTGAAGAACCTGCAAATTATTTTGAATAGGCACAACCAACTTGTACCCAATGCATAACCTTATCTATATTTAAGAGTTTCCTTGATTGTACACATCATGAAACAAAAAAAGGTAAATTAAAAATCAACTTTATAAGCTTCTAAGACATGGTAAAACTATGACTATGAACTGATTACTCAATATATCTGAAATAGTTTGAAGTGGTTCAAACTCAAATGGTTGAGGTTAGTGTAGTAAATACAATTCAATATAGATAATACATGTATGGAGTTAGGAATTACATGGTAATTAAGGACACTGGTTTTGTTATAAAAAGCTGTAGAGTATTACAGTAGGCTACTGAATAGATGCTGAATGTAGGACACTCCCTTCGTGTTCCCATTTGGATTTTCAGAACTAAATTTGCCTCAAGTGTTCTGTCCTTCACAGTCATCACCCTCTTCTCCCTTTCACTTCCTAAGGAGATCACAGTAAGGTCTTTCAGTACCCAGCTTAAAAGAGGAGAATAAGATGTTTTGATGTTTGTTCCTTACCTGGCATGTCATTTGGGATAGCATAAAACAAGTTTGGGTTTATGATTTCTAATATGCTCGCTTGCACAGTTTTATTAGCTGGCAGTTCTATCGTCTTCCACTGCTCTGCTGAAGAGAAGGCTGAAGACATATGAAACATAGTTCTTGCGTTAAACAGATAAAAATCTATTTTTCTTTCCTAGTAATATATTTATGTGCAATCTGTTCCTCAACTATCAACATTTCCAAATTGTCACAATGAAAGCTCTGTATTTCACAAAACAATCTATTCAATTTGAGGGATTATGTAGGTGTTACCAAAAAGTTCAGTCTATGACAGTCCTTAAACTATTACATTCCCACAGTATATTTCTGTAGTACAGTTCTATTTCTGAAGTACATTCAGTGAAATTCTTCAAAATTACTGAAAGTTTAAGGGGTATATATCTGAATGATGTATGTCTACTTGCTAACTAAAATGAAAATTAGTACAATGTTGGGTCAATTAAAAAATATATTTCAATAAATATTAAGTTAACTTTAATTCATCATTAATCTATGCCTACAATGCAAATGTCTATAGGAAAATTGTTTCATTTAGGATAGAGAAATTCTCAGACTTAAGCAAAGGCTAACACGAATTTAAGTAACAAGTGGTTTAAAAGTGTTACCTTGAAGCCCCTGGGTGAAGGTTTCATGATTGTGTTTATTAACTGGTCTGTTATCTGGCAAATCCTTATATGGTGAACCAGCTTTTAAAACAAGCTTTTCACTAATCAGAACATCACTAATTATCCTGGGATATGAAGTGGAAAGGTCAGTGAGTTCAACTCCTACTCCCCTTTCAGTGATTTCAACCACTCTGGCTTGGAGTTTTACCCCCGAAATACACATCTGAAATCTTGCTATGGCTTCTTTAGTCCAATATTTGTTTTTAGGCTGTATATCTGGAAAATAAGAACAGCATCAAAATAGCCCTTGGCACAAGCTGAATTTTTGTTTCTACAGTATCCAGGACTGGGTCCTTGTCAAGTTTGCCATTCAGTTCAGCAATTTTGAATAATTTTAAATAATCCTCTCCTAGGTATCTACATACTCCATGGCTGAATTACAGATAATGTATCCTCTAATACAGTGGAAGGCTCCAGATCTTCCTTTACTTTTCCTAGTAATGTATGGTGACCTGGCACTTTTCCAATAGGTTAAAATGAGTGTTATTTCTTTTAGAATCCACCATCATGTTCTGTTACATACACAGTGATGAGTTACCAATTCCAAGATGTGAACTGATATACTTTCACTTGTGTGCAATTTCTGAAGATAATTTCAAAATCTCATTTGAAATTATTCTTTTCCTTGGTAATTTTAGCCTACACTCTTTTTCTTTTGAGATGGTGTTGCCCAAGCTGGTCTCAAACACCTGAGCTCAAGTGACTTCCACCTCAGCTTCCTGAATAGCTGGGAGTACAGGCTTTCCACTCTTTTTCTTAAATAGTGACTTTCAACCTTGAGCAAGCATCTGATTCGCCTAGAGGACTTGTTAAAACACAGACTTCCAGGTTCCACCCCAAAGTTTCTAATTTAGTAGGTCTGGGGACCATATTTTAAGAAGCCTGAAACTTGGTAATTAAATAAAATAGTCTGAAACATGTAACTGTAAAATAAGTACAATAACAGACGGGTACCAGAATAAAACGAACACCTAATGCTTCCCAGCATGACCATGATTAAGATTTTGGAATCCAACCTTCCACAGGTTTGTTTTGTTTTGTTTTGTTTTTTGTTGGAAACAGGGTCTTGCTGTGTTGCCTAGGCTAGCCTCAACCTCCTGCGCTCAAGTGATCCTCCTGTCTTAGCCTCTTGAGCAGCTGGGATGTCAGGTTCATACCACCACATCCAGCTGCTTTGACAGATATTATGTGCACATGATATATACACATATACACAGGGTGTGCTCAAAAAATACCATGTTTAAAATCTTTAAAATTATTACAATAAAAGACACACTGGCATTAATCCTCCTCAAAACGCTCCCCCTTGCTTTGAACACACTTATCCCTTCCTTCTTGCCACTTTCTGAAGCAGTTCTGGAAGATCTCTTTCTTGAGTGTCTAGTTGTGCTGTTGTGGCTGCCTCGATGCCCTGAGTCGATTCAAAATGTTTACTTTTCATGTTCATTTTGACTTTAGAGAAGAGCTAAAGGTCACACAGTGCCAGATTCTATGAATAAGGTGGATGAGGAAATACCACTATATATA